GACGAAAGATCGAAATATCACCCTTAAGGCCAAGGGCCTCCGCCAAAAAGAAGAGTTCGACCTCGATCGAACAACGACAAGTTAATATTTCGACGAAAGATCGAAATAACACCCTTAAGGCCAAGGGCCTCCACCAGAAAGAAGAGTTCGACCTCGATCGAACAACGACGGGTTAATATTTCGAGGAAAGATCGAAATAACACCCTTAAGGCCAAGGGCCTCCGCCAAAAAGATGAGTTCGACCTCGATCGAACAACGACGGGTTAATATTTTGACGAAAGATCGAAATAACACCCTTAAGGCCGAGGGCCTCCACCAAAAAGAAAAGTTCGACTTCGATCGAACAACGACGGGTTAATATTTCGACGAAAGATTGAAATAACACCCTTAAGTCCAAGGGCCTCTGCCAAAAAGAAGAGTTCAAACTCGATCGAACAACGACGGGTTAATATTTCGACGAAAGATCGAAATAACACCCTTAAGGCCAAGGGCCTCCGCCAAAATGAAGAGTTCGACCTCGATCGAACAACGACGGGTTAATATTTCGACGAAAGATCGAAATAACACCCTTAAGGCCAAGGGCCTCCGCCAGAAAGAAGAGTTCGACCTCGATCGAACAACGACGGGTTAATATTTCGACGAAAGATCGAAATAACACCCTTAAGTCCAAGGGCCTCCGCCAAAAAAAAGAGTCCGACCTCGATCGAATAACGACGGGTTAATATTTCGACGAAAGATCGAAATAACACCCTTAAGGCCAAGGGCCTCCGCCAAATAGAAGAGTTCGACCTCGATCGAACAACGACGGGTTAATATTTCGATGAAAGATCGAAATAACACCCTTAAGGCCAAGGGCCTCTGCCAAAAAGAAGAGTTCGACCCCGATCGAACAACGATGGGTTAATATTTCGACGAAAGATCGAAATAAAACACTTAAGGCCAAGGGCCTCCGCCAAAAAGAAAAGTTCGACCTCGATCGAACAACGACGGGTTAATATTTCGACGAAAGATCGAAATAACACCCTTAAGGCCAAGGGCCTCCGCCAAAAAGAAGAGCTCGACCTCGATCGAACAACGACGAGTTAATATTTCGCGAAAGATCGAAATAGCACGCTTAAGGCCAAGGGCCTCCGTCAAAAAGAGGAGTTCAACCTCGATTGAACAACGACGTATCAACATTTCGATGAGAATTCAAAATAATACCCCTAAGACTGAAAGCCATCGCTGAAGATAACTGGGACTCGCGACGGGATGATACTTTGATATAAGCTCGAAAATAAAATCCCTACGACTAAGGCCGCTATCAGAAAGAGAATCCGATAACACTCGAACGTTGATAGATTAGCACCTCGATACGAGGTGAAAAGCACCGTCGCGTCAGCTAAAGCCGTCATCAAGGCTCTAACTCAAACCGAGCGACCTTGAAGTCCCATAAGAAGCGGGATCAACAGGCAGAAATCGACTTTGCATCAAAATTACGAAGAGCAAAACAGGAAAGGTAGTACAGAAGGCGTGTAAGAATGAAAAATCCTCTTCATACAAAGCTACAGCTCAAACAACCGCAAATTACCTACAGCTAAAATCAACAGAGTCCAAGAAAAGAACAATAAACAACAACAAAAAAGGGAAGAGAAACAAAGATAACAATTCTTTCACTCAGCACCACCTCCAGGAGATCCTCCCTCATCACCCGCACTCTCATCAGCTTCCGACGTTGCAGAGTCATATCCACAATTTACACGAGCCTCTCGTGCCTTCACTCGTGCTCCTTCATATGCGGCCTCAGTAAATTTGCTCGCCTCCCACAAGCTCTTCTAGATGTCCCGCTGGGCTTCAGCATGAACCCAAAGCTCGTGTAAATGACGAGGAGCTGCGAAGGAGGAGGATTCGACTTGAGCCAACAGTTGCTCCTTTTCGGCCTCAAGAGCAACAACCCGGTCCGCTAGGGTCGATGCCTCTCGGTCGATCTCGTCAATACGCTCCTCAAGCCTCGCTTCCCTCAATGTGGTCGTCGCCCTCTCCAATTACTGCTCGGATTTGAGGACGCGGATGGTATTCTCTAAAGCCGCAGCCCTGCCAAAGCCGATGACTAAGCACTCTCAATATTTTCCAAACCGGCAACTTTTTTTAGGACGCAGATCAGGTTCCGGCTCCTCCCCGGCGGGGCTGTGAAAATTGCTCCACGCTTTCCCAGGGCGAGGCAAGATCTCAACCACCGGCGGGACCTCCTCATCTTCTACCACTTATGCTCCTCCAGTGGCCAGAACATCGTTTTCCGGCGCCGGAATTGGGGCAGAAAGGTCAGTGCGAGAAAATTGACATCCATTTGAATCAATTTGATAAAGCAAGAGGATAAAGAAAAGGAAAGGCGAAAATTCCCGGCCAACTAAAGGAAATCAAAAATTCGAAGTATCGGGAGGAAAGCGGATTCGCAAAGTTTTCTTAAGCAAAGGCAAAGAATGTGTCAAATCTAATGGTGCAGTCCTATTTATAAGAGACATAAATTTTCCGAGCACGAAATCCAAGAGTCGCCAATTGAGGTTGATAGGGCATGAAACGGTTCAACCCCCTAGGAACGTGTGTCATAATGGCAGGTAACCATAAACAACGCTTTAAGACAAACTATGTTCAGGTTCCGAAACGATCGAAATGGTTCGAGGATATCGAAATGACGCCATCGCATTGCTAGAATTTAAAGACCATACCCAAGGGGTAGGTGGTAAGATTTCTCGTAATGCATAATAATCATAATCCGCCTACTAGGCCCGACAAAAGACGACCCCGGTAAGCGGAGGGAATAACTGTATTGGTCGAAATCTGATCGCTGCAGTCGGCCTGACCAAGATCTCGCCCAAGCGGCGAGATAGTAAAAGACGTCGGGGTTTGCTCCAAAACCCCGTACTCATAACGCCCACCGTGACAAAGAACGATACTAAGGGAACGACGAAAGCGGACGTTGTGCGAATCAGTATTGACCCATAGTGAGGGTTCCATAGCTATATATAGGGGAGGAGTCTCTCAAGGGGAAGGGGGTTTTTTCTCTCTCTTTTCTCTCCTCTGTAATCTTCTTAGAAAAAGGAGTCTTCCCATGGAAGACGGAAAACAGTGATCTCCATCGATGTATAAATGAAAAAATGGAAAATATCAATGAGATTGATCACCCCTATTTCATCATATGCATAATTTTGATTCGTTTATGGCTCTCGAGGTTATTAGGTTTGACTAAGATTTACCTATTCATTCTCTTTAATTGATTTGTTCGAAAAGATTCCAGTATCTTTTGAGTCAAACAATCACAAGTATGAAATCATACACCTAAGGTAAATTCTGGAGTTTTTAGTGTAGTGCACCAACAGTACTGTATAGGTCTAAATGTGACCACCCACGATCTATAGCTAGGATGACAGGTGAGCGCAAACCCACGAGTCGGTATGAGGGAATGTCCCAAAGGTTAAAGAGGGGACGTCCGTGCATTGTCGTTTAGTTTTATCGTAGTGAACACCCCTTGATTCGTCGTCCCAACGAATTAGAGAAATCTCCTAGTATATAAGGGGGATTTTAGGGCTTGTAAGTGGCAGAGGAGAAAATATACAAAACTATTTTTCTCTGTTCTTTTAGAATCTCTCTCTCTCTGTCTCTGTCTCTGAATATCTCTCTATCATCTCTTTGTTATAACGATCCAAGAGTTTATTATCTTCGACTACGATTTGCCCCTTCCATCTTTGATTGATTTGCTTAAGAAGAAATAAAAATCTTTTTAATCAAACAATTTGGCGCCGTCTGTGGGGATTTCCGTAGTCGAAATCATAGTTCTCATCTAGGATATCAAAAGCCACGATCACTATTCTTCATACCCCATAAGAACCAACAATGGCGGAAAAAGAAGCAAGGTTGAAGAAGATAGCAGATGTCTCAAACAACCTCTTAGGATCCCTCGACGAAGCCAGTAGGGAAAATACCGAGAATACAATACCAAGATTTACACCGGAGGGGGAGATCTCGCCCTCCCCGCACGGAGATCTGACAGTCTTGCGAGAAAAAGGAGCTTCCACGTCCACGGCGAGAGAAACACCACCAGCGATCAAAAAGCTACTAGAGGAGTGGCTGATAAGTGCCCTGAGCAATATGCTCGAAAGGCCCCCTCAAGGAAATGTCGAAGACTCGCCGACTACAGAAATCGTAGTTGCCTCCGGAGAGCCAGGCGCTACTCGAACGAACAACACCCGCACGGTCATCGAGGCAAGCGACGATGCACTCACAACCATTTTAAAGAAAATGGAAGAAATGGAAAACGAAAACAAAATACTTCGCGATCAAATAAAAGAGCACCAGGAAAGGGCTGACAAAATACCTGGCGCCCCTAAGCTGCTACCAAAACGTGATATTGGAAGGTTCATCGAACAGCCATACAGCGAAGAAGCTGCTCCTCACCCCATCCCGAAAACCTTCAAAATGCCACCATACTTGAGAATATACGACGGGACCACGGATCCAGAAGATCATCTAATCCACTACGTTACCGCGGTAAAAGGCAATGACCTGTCAAAAGAACAAGTGCCATCTGTGCTGCTGAAAAAGTTCGGTGAGACTTTGACAGGAGGAGCATTGACATGGTACTCCCAGCTACCAGCTCGATCAATATCAACGTTCGAGGAGATGGCAGACAAATTTGCTACCACCCATGCAGGAGCTAAAAAGGCCGAAGCTAGGGTCAACGACATCTTCGCCATCAGGCAAACAGCGAGCGAGGGACTTAGAGACTTCCTGGCCCGATTCAACAGAGTAAGAATGGGACTACCAAATGTGTCGGAAGGAATGGCAGTCGCAGCCTTCCAAAACGAATTAAATAGGAGCGGATCAAAGGCGACCAAAAAATTACTCAACAGACTCATGAAGTACCCCCACCACATGGGAAGAAATTCATAACGCCTACTGCGCTAAGGTAAGGGCAGATGAAGATGATCTTAACGGGCCAACTCAGCGATTAACGTCAGTCCAAACCGAGGCAAGGAGGGACAGACGCAATGATGGGCGAAGAGATCAGCCACCGCGTTTCAATCGATAAAGACACCAGCCTTATGTCAGAACATCTAACCTGCCTCCTTCGAGACATGCAGATACCTCTTCAAAACGAAAGAGGTATGCCTCCACTATTATCTGCTCATAACTTTTGTGTTTCCCCTTCAGAGATAGTGTACGCACTAGAGAAGCTGGGCACGTAGGTACAATGGCCACCAAAAACGAAATCGGGTCTGAGCGCAAGAAGGTCAAACGTCCTCTGTGAATTCCATCAGGAAAGAGGACACAAGACCGAGGATTCTATAGGCCTGCGACAAGAGGTGGTCAGAATGTTGAACCAGGGGTACCTAAAAGAACTACTCACCGATAAAGGAAGGGCCAACTTCGCCAGAGGACGCGACCCCTCTCAAGGACCTCCAAAACCACCATCGCCGGCACGCACCATACAGATGATCATTGGCGGCGGCGATGATTTGGTGATCAACCATGTGAAATTCACCACCACTCACAAACTCAAATGGACGGTCGCGCACGAACGGATGACGACTTCGAAGACAGTATCATCTTCGAAAAGTCAGATGCCGACGGTTTGTCTTTCCCCCATTATGATGATTTAGTTATAACTTTACGCATCGCTGATACGGATGTTAAAAGGAATCATGGTAGATGATGGAAGCGGCGCGTGTATTATCCACCCAAGAGTCCTCGTACAAATGAGGCTCGAGGATAGAATAATACCGCATTGCATAACACAAACGGGTTTTAACAATGCAGTAGAGCGGACATCCGGAGAAGTAGTGCTGCCTGTCTTGGCAGGGGGAGTCACGTTGGAAACCACATTCCACGTCATGAACCAAGAAACAACCTATAATGCCATCATAGGACGCCCATGGATATACGCCATGCGAGGCGTCCCCTCAAGCTTTTATCAAGTGATCAAATTTCCCACACCATGGGGAGTATTCAGCATTCGAGGCAAACCGCGCACCACCCAGGAATGTTATCGGATCGCCCAAGATTGCACGCACACCAAACAGCTGAAAGGATCAAGTGCGGAGGCATAGCAATCAGCCATGTTGGGAACTAAACCCGACCCACCAGCAGAAGTCATCAGAGACCCTGACATCATAGAAACTTGTAAGGCAACTATAGAAAACCTCGACCCGGTCCAGCTGGATGACGCCGACAACACAAGAAAGGCTTACATCGGGCACAACCTCCTAGAACCAGATAAGTATCATGAATTCTTAACTAACAACGCCGACTTATTTGCCTTTTCCCACTCAGATATGCCGGGGATCCCAAGGGATATCGCCACGCATAGATTGCATGTCGATCCTCTCTACCCGTCAGTACGGCAGGCGAGGAGAAAATTCAACGCCGCAATCAATGAGGCGGTCAGCGAAGAAGTGGACAAGTTACTCAGAAACGGTTCCATCAGAGAATCAAAGTACCCCCAGTGGATCGCCAATGTGGTCATGGTCAAAAAGAAGAACGGGAAGTGGTGAATGTGTGTGGACTTCACCGATTTAAATAAGGCATGCCCGAAAGATTCCTTCCCGTTACCCCATATCGACCAACTGATCGATGCGACAGCAGGACATGAACTGCTGAGCTTTTTGTATGCCTACTCCGGTTACAACCAAATCCTAATGGCAGAAGAGGACCAGGAAAAGACAACTTTTATCACTCACCAAGGGACTTACTGCTATAAAGTGATGCCGTACGGACTCAAGAACGCAGGGGCCACTTATCAGAGACTGGTCACCAAGATGTTCAAAGAACAGCTCGGCAAGACGATGGAGGTGTATATCGACGATATGCTGGTAAAATCAGCAAAAAAGGAGGATCACATTAATCACTTTAAAGAAGCTTTCGAGATATTGAGACAGTACGGGATGAAGTTGAATCCAGAAAAATATGCCTTCGGCGTGGGCTCGGGGAAATTCCTGGGCTTCCTCGTATCACAACGAGGGATCGAAGTCAACCCTGATTAGATCAAGGCCATCGATGCAATACCTGAGGTACTGACCAGCAAGAAATAGGTACAGAAGCTGATAGGGCGAATAACCGCCTTGTCGAGATTCATTTCACGGTCCTCAGACAGATGTCACAAGTTCTTCATCGTACTAAGAAAGGATCACGGGCTACAATGGAATGAGGAATGCATTGACGCCCTGAAGAAGCTAAAAGCATACCTATCTTCACTACCACTACTCGTCAAAGCGAACCTAGGCGAATGTTTGCTTGTGTATTTGGCAGTATCCGAGGTCGCTGTCAGTACGGTCTTAGTTCGCGAAAACAAAGGTACGCAATCCCCTATTTACCATATCAGCAAAACCTTAATAGACGCCGAGACAAGGTACCCTCACCTTGAAAAACTGGCCCTGGCACTAGTCGTAGCTTCACGCAAGCTTAGACCTTATTTCCAATGCCACCCCATAATGGAAATAACAACCTTCCCCCTAAGGGGTGTCCTACATAAGCCCGAGATCTCATGCAGACTCGCCAAATAGGCAATAGAACTCAGCGAGCACGACATAACTTACCAACCGCGAACTACCACCAAGTCGCAAGTACTAGCTGATTTTGTCGCCGACTTCAGCGCAGAGATATTGCCAGAGGCGGAACAAGAAGCGCTTCGCGCTTCAGCATGTACCGACCTCTGGACCCTCTACACTGACGGTGCCTCAAACGCCTCGGGATCGGGATTGGGACTCGTCCTCGAAGTCCCTACAGGCGAATAATTTGCCAGTCCATACGATGCCTCGAGATGACTAACAACGAGGCCGAGTATGAAGCTGTGATTGCAGGTTTGAAGTTAGCCCTCAAATACGGTGCCCGGCGGCTCATCCTCCGCTGCGACTCTCAACTCGTCGTAAATCAAGTCACCGGGAATTTCCAGAGCAAAGACTGCAGAAATATCAATCCGAAATCCATAAGTTACTGCCGAAGTTCGATGAATGCCACCTCGATCAGATCCCTAGAGCACAAAACATTGAAGCAGATGGCCTCGCCAAGTTGGCTGCGGCCACCAAGAATATCAACAAGGAGAATGTGGTCACCCTCCTTGACTCGGCCATAGACCATGTCGAGGTACTCTCCCTGAATCTAACTTGGGACTGGCTAATCGCCTTGTGTCCTACTTACAGGACGGAACACTCCCGCAAGACAAAAAGGGAAGCCAAGACACTCCGGACACAAGCGGCTCGATACAGCCTGGTAGATCATAACCTCTACAAGAGAACATTCGGCGGCCCCTTAGCCAAATTCCTCGGACCGCACCAAACAAGGCAATTACTAGAGGAAGTACACGAGGGTCATTGTGACGCACATACTGGTAATCGTGCCCTCGTTCGATGTCTCATTAGCGCCGGCTATTACTGGACTACTATGGAAAAAGAAGCAGCTGATTATGTCCGGAGATGCGAGCAATGCCAAAAGCACGCTCCTATGATACACCAAGCAGGAGAACTGCTCCATTCAGTCACCTCACCATGGCCTTTGATAAAGTGGGGGATGGATATAGTCGGCCCTCTGCCAGCCGCACGAGGAAAGGTACGTTTTCTTTTGGTTTTAACTGACTATTTCTCTAAATGGGTGGAAGTAGGTGCGTATGCTCAAATACGCGAACAGGAGGTCATCACCTTTATATGGAAAAATATTATATGCCGCTTCGGTATCCCCAAAGAAATCAGTTGCGGTAATGGACCCAGTTTGTCGAAAAGAAAACGACTGAGTTCTTCGAATAAAGGCACATCAAGCGGATACTCTCCACGCCATACCATCCCGCCGCCAACGGCCAAGCAGAGTCCTCCAACAAAGTGATATTAAACATACTGAAAAAGAAGCTCGAAAAATCTAAAGGGCTATGGCCCGAACTGCTACCTGAAGTATTATGGGCATATCGAACAACGCCAAAGTCTACCATGGGAGAAACGCCGTACTCACTGGTCTACGGGACCGACGCAGTCATACCCGTCGAGGTCGGGGTACCCAGCCTAAGATACTCCCATATAAGCGGAGCAGATAACGACGAAAGTAGGTTGCAAGACCTAGATAAAGTTGAAGAACGGAGAGACATGGCCCACATAAGGATGATAGCCCAGAAGCAACAAGTAGAGAGATACTACAACAAAAAAGCCAAGGTAAGACAGTCAAAGTCGGCGACTACGTTCTCAAGGCCAAAACATTGGCGTCAAAAGACACGAATGAGGGAAAATTAGGAACCAACTAGGACAGACCGTATAAAATCATAGCAGCGGCAAACAAAGGAGCATTCCAACTGGAAACAATGGGAGGAAAACTGCTCCAAAATAACTGGAACGTCGCCCATCTCAAGTACTTCCACTTCTGAAAGGCGTCACCTAAGTCGCACTCTTTTTCCCTCACCCGAGTTTTGTCCCAATCGGGTTTTCTCGGGGAGGTTTTTAACGAGGCGGCGAGGGGGATACCCTGTGGATCGGCGCGTTGTTCATCACTGCGGCCCAACGGCACGGTCTCCAGGCCAAAGTGATAAAGGGACTACACAAGTCAACTTCATTGTATGAACAGATATTTCCATTGTATAAACAAGAATTCTCCAATATATTAACAGAAATCTCCATTATATGAAACGCAAACATCTAAATGGCCAAGGCCATCGACATTAGTTCGACATTGATTGAACCACGACGGATACTACTTCGACCACGATCGAAGCAACATCCATATGGCCAAGGCCATCGACATTAGTTCGACCTCGATCGAACCACGACGGATACTACTTCGACTACGGTCAAAGCGACATCCATATGGCCAAGGCCATCGACATTAGTTCGACCTCGATCGAACCACGACGGATACTACTCCGACCACGATCGAAGCAATATCCAAATAGCCAAGTCCATCGACATTAGTTCGACCCCGGTCGAACCACGATGAAACGTATTTTTAATAGTCAAAACATCCCTACGGAAACTAAGTATCATGCAACAAACCAGAAAGGGAAAACGGCGAATAAACAAATCGACAAAAGTGAAGTATATATTACAACAAAAATATTAT